ACACTAACTCACCACTTAAAATGAAAACAAGGCTCAATTTTCATGAACTTCAGAGATTGGGAAAACAAGCTTAGAAATGTTCTAAAGAGAAAAAAGCTCGAAGCTCGTTTATACATCCCAATCGAAAGCAGATTCACAGTTGGCATGACTATCGAAAAGTATTTGAAAGAGGTTTTAGACAGCGAGAAAGTCAAGTCACTTATATTCTATTCCAAAGATTTAGGCTAGAAGGATTGAGTACTATGTGCCAACTATGCTACATAATTGCTTACGTGATGTATGTAGAGGACATGCACGCCCCTATGGAAATGGTAGTTTTGATGGGGACGCTGAGGCAATCATTGATATTATTCCAATAATTGAATACTCTAGGAGTGATGATTTAAGGTATGAAGCTTGCTTAACTCATGGAAAGATTCCTGCAAAGAATCTCGTACCAGGTGTAGGCGTCGATTGAAGCGCGCCTACGTAAACATGTTGTGAAAATGCTTAGAAATCATAGGAAGTGGGATTTGACATATATAATTTGGGGCAAATAAAGTAGGGAGCCACCAACAAGTTTTATGGAACTTGTAAACCGTGCACGGATCATGTAAGGCAGTAACAAATAAGGGACAACGATCTACCCGTGAATGTTACATCCCATTCATAGTCCATGAGATTACTAACTCTATACGGTTCGGAACCCCGAAAGGTGGATCGGGGATGATGGTACAAAGTTAGTCATGGTGTCACATTCGCCTGTATTGGCCTCTACTCGATTCTTATAGCGAAAAGTGTTTCCTGCGATATATAAGACATACAAGAAAAGATTCAATTTGCTTCAAACTAGATTACGCTAAATTGGTTTAATTTTAATGCAACACGGAATTCTAATTATTGGTGACCACTTAATTAAACAACAAGATTATAAAAAGAACCTAAACCAGTCATCCAAATTATCTTATTAGTCGTTATATTCAATTACATACTCCCTTAAAACATCAAATATGGTGATCAATAATAAACCATAGAATAATCATTAACATTGGAAGCAATTTTACCATAATAAATCCAATAATCAATATAAGACAATTATAATAAAAAATCGTTAGAAATATAATAGAAACAAAAGGAGCATGATCCTTACTTTGCTTGCTTTTTCTTGAAACTATAAAAAATAAACACATTAGTAACTTCAATGAAAATAATAAAATGGAAATTAAATCAAATTCATGTAGAGTTGATTTGGGGTCAAACCCTCTAACAGTTCTACCTTTCACGCCTTGGCTTAAGTACGGAACTTCGGGTAAAGTACGAACTCCGGGGAGTGCTTAAGGGATGAATTGTGAGATTAGGAAGCCAAGTGTTTAGGCTAGAGCATAGAATAAAAAGAGTATGTGAGCAGGTGCTCGAGACTATAAATGAGCCTCGTATTTATAGGGGAGAAATGAGGAACGAGATCCGAAACCCTAGAAATTAGGTGCCGTAGAAGAAAAGTGTATCGTGTCATGGCAATGGGTGTCGTGGCATGCACAGTACTTGTGACGTGGTGCGGTACTTAACTTTATCATTTTAGAAGTAAAAACCGTGTGAAAAAAGATAAAACCAGCCAAAAAGTGTGCGTGGCATAGTACTCCTGCTGTAACGCGGCACTTCAGTTTTCTGGAAACTTCTTTGAAATTAATATTTATCTTTGTTTTAAATTAAACACGTGATGTTTAGGCGCCATTTCTGTCATTCCGGACTCATTTTCATATGTAGGGTTTAAGATAATTATTAATTGGGCTCAATTAATAAATAATGAAATGGATTCAAAATGGTTTGGGCTAGCGATAAGGGAAATAACAGGTCCATTACTACCTACCCCTAAATCAAATATAATTTATAGACCTAAGCAAACCAAACACTAGAAAGAAAAAGGGTCGAACCATAGGGAGATGCTAAAACACTACAATCAACACCAACAACTAATCTGGCTCAACAGATTGGACAACAGAATGAACACTAACAAATGATGATTAAACTATAGGAAAAACCAAGTATAACAAGCAATAAGGAAATGGATCATGGCAAATCTTCACTCAAGAAATGATAAGGGAAATGAAACGGGAATCAAGCACACTAAATTTCACATGAATTATGATTAAAGGCATAGTCTACTCCCCTATCGGGAGCAACTACTTTCTCAAACATACACAATAACACTGTCGTCATAACCATACATAGATTGAGGTAAGTAAACATGAATCATCTAATGAGCTTCACTTAATCACACTGTCGTCATAATCAAGATTAGCTCAGCCAACTACAAATACTAATTGGCCAGTCAATAAATATAATTGGTAATCATGAAAAACAAAGACTTTAATCACTAATCAACCCATAATCCCAATCCCCAACATGATTAAGACTCGATTAACCCATCACCATTCCCATAGTTAAGAGATGGAAACCAAGTTAATCATACAACTAACAAGGAAAGACATGATTAACAAGTAAATAAAAGATATAAAGCAAATAAATAAAGAGTAAAGGGAAATAAATTACTAAATGAGCTTCATTAATTTTAAAAAAGGTTAATTATAAATCATCCAAGATCACAAAATTAGTGTTTTTCTCTCTTAGTTTATGCTAAGAAACCATATATCATGTTAAGTCAATACCCTAACTAGTTACTAAGGAGAAAGACTTAAAACTATTTATACAAGGGCTTAAATGAAGGTAGCCAACATAGCATGCGCGCCCTTGCAAGATACTGCGCGCCCGCAATAATCTGGGTACGAAAAGTGAAACTTAGAGATGCGCGCCTGCGCATGATAATTTTGCGCCCGCGCACTGTGACTGTGCGACTGGCAATCAAGGCGCAACTAGGGCGTGCAAACTCCGATCCCTGCCTCAATTGTGGAATCAACTCCTCAACTTTTTACGCGCCCGCGCACAGTGACTTCGCGCTCGCACAGCTTTGGTGCGCGCCTACTCTGTAGTCGCGCATAAGGCATGCAGACTCCCTGCCTTGATTCTTTAATTTTGTTCTCTGTACGCGCCCACAGACTGCCAGTGCGTGCCCTCTTAGTGGTCGTGCCCTCTCAGAAGCTTCCAAGCTTCTCTCCTTACTTCATCATCAAGGCTTTCTTATAAAACACGAACAAAAAAAAAACAAAGGTAGAAAGGGGCAAAAAGAGGGGGAAAACTAAGAAAGAACAGAAAATAAAGAAAGGAAGCTAAAGACATAAAAGAGGGTATAAACATGCTACAAGTATAGGGAAAAACCACTAAAATGGACTCAAAATTGTGGGATAAATGCCACTCATCAACTAGAAATAATGTTTGGACAAGGTTCAAATAAATACATGGACTGAAATGTGGATTGATTTATAAACTGTATTGGATAGAACAATGATTTTAAGAATTCCAAAGATTAAATACTCAACCCGACCAATAATGGCGGTGAAAGATTGTTCATCATCGGGTTTGGTTTTGGGGAGACATTTTTAGGTGTCTACAGAAGCCCCCACTTTTACTGAGTATTTAGAAATGTAAGTTTCCAAAACGATAGTCAAAGTAGTCGATAGGAACTAAGAATGATTTAAGATGTTCTGCGATCCTAAATCAGTTTGCATATGCCGATACTTGCAGAAAAGCGTTAGTTACACAGATAAAAGAGTTAAGGGATAGAATGCGTATCTCACACTAGTGCGTCAGTTGCAAATACGTCTTGTAGCTTTTTGGGCCTCGAGAAATCTACCGTGAACCACTCCACCTCGAAAAAATGTTTCATAGACTCCTATGCCTCGAGCATTCCACTTAATAATGATCTTCTGCGCCTCGAGATGATTAATGAAGGATAGTATTCCGCGCGTCGGGAATCCTATCGTGAACTCCTACTCCCAAGTAGCTCACAAGTGAAATTCCGCGCCTCGAGAATTACATTAAAATTAAGTGTTCACACCTCGGGACATAATTGTAGACCTCTACGCCTCGAGAAGTATGCAACAATTGACAATTTTCCACGCCTCGGGAAAACTTGTATGACGATGCAAAATTACAAGTCTCTACGCCTCAAGAAACTCGTAATGTGGATATGAATAGTAATCCTCCGCGCCTTGGGATGATCACTAAGTATTTGATAAATGTCCGATTGTCCCTGAATAGAGGTTGTACTTATGATTGTTAAATTTTCCCCGAACAAAGGCCGTAAATATGATTGTTCAATTGTCCTCAAATAGAGGTTGTATTCATTTAAAAATATTTTGCTGATGTTGAAACCCTCAAGCCGTGTACATTCGACTATATAGGTGCCTAAATATGATGTTGATATTTGCTGAGGTTAAAATGGTAATTTTAATGCCATTTAAATATTAGTTGGAATTTCCCGCGAGTTTTTGGTCAAGAGATTAGATAATTGTCAAATGTCGCGGAAATTTATTATGACTGGTTAAAAAAAAAAAGCACAAAGCATATTGGCTACAAGATTCCTGAACACTATAGCACGCGCCAAAGTGCCCGCCACAGGATTATATGTCATGGCACGGTACTCGTGGCCTTCACTAAAATTTGGGCAACAACCCGATTTTACTCTTTCATTCCATTTTCTTCGCTGGTCATCTTCTTTGCTGCTACTTCTACAGCTTTTGCTTATTTCTCACTCAAAAATTCATCAAATCATTCCTAATTTACAGCATAGCTCCTCATATTCGATCTTGTACATCAATCCATGTAAGTTTTCTTGCTTTTGAGTTGAATTTCATTGCAAATGGGGTGATTTGTGCGAAAAACCCTAGAAATTAAATTGGGGGTTTTCAATTTTGATGACTTTTGTTAGAATTCTTATTATGGATTTCATTGTATATGAATGTATATTTGTTTGTGATCAATTTGAGACCAAGTTTGTTTCATTTGGTGAAGAAGTGAGCGAATCACCATTTTTGGGTACTACTTGTGCATGAATGACCATTGTTGTTGTTCTTCATGTTTCTTTTATTGTTTTGCACTTGAAATGATAATATAATTGTTGTAGATCATGTAGGATGTGCTTTGATATGCAGATTTGTTGTTTTATTCACTAGTAGAAAAAATGAATAAGGCACCGCAGCTTTCGCACCGGTTTTTGAAAATCGGTGTTAAAAGAAATAGGCGGGATTGAGGGAAAGAGTTTTTGCATCGGTTCTTACAAAACCGGTGCGAAAAGTGAGTAAATCGCACCGGTTCAGTTCGAACCTGTGCGAAAACTCTTGTTAAATTAAAAAAAAAAAACCCGGTTATAATTTAATCTTCTTTCTTTCTCTTGAAACCCCTCGATCTTTCCTCCTCTCTTATTCTCTCTCCACTCTCTCTCCTCCATTGAAGCGTTCTCATCTGTCTCTCTCTCCTTTCCTTTCTTCTCTCTTTCGATCGCCTATGCACCCTTCCCCGGTTTCATTGTGGAGCTCTTCAGTTGTGCTCCATCAATTAAGGTTTTCCTCTTTCTTCTTTTTCAGTTGCATTGGATCTTAGGGTTTTGTTTGTTTTTAAACTTAAGGTGTTTTTTAGGGTTTTGTTTGGCGGTGGTGGCTATGGTGGCCTTATTCGACCTATAATCGTTGGCTTCATCTTCTTTTGTCGAAAACTCTTCATGGTGGGTTCGGCTGTTGCGCAATTGCGAATACTCTTCCTTTTTCTGGGTTTGTAATGAAATCATTGGTTTTGTTTGTGTTTTTTTGATGAAATTATCTTATGGGTTGTTTTGTTTTGATGTTTTTTTCTATGGGTATCTTCTGTTTTCCTGTTTTTTCTCCTTAATCTGATTATGGTTTGATTAATATGATTGTTGGACCTTAAATTTTTGGTTTATAATGTTTTGCTTTGATTTCATCTTATAGTGTTAAAAAATCCTGCAAATTTCGGAAGAAAATTTGTAATTTCATGAATACCATCAACTTTAGCATAAGTTTGAATTCTCGATCTTGGTATTAAAATGCCTTAATTTCTGTTGCAAAATCTAATTGGGTATGTTTGGAAGTTGGGGGTTCTTGTGTTCTGCATTGGATTTTTTAAGAGTAATTAATTTGAGTAGGAATTTTATTTTTAATAATGGAGTGTTGGTTTTTGGAATCAGGACCCAATTTCCTTGTTTGATAGCGTTTTGAAACTAAAAGGCTGCAGCAACCTATTATACCTTGATTAGGGTGATGAATTTTATGATGTTTGTATTAAGTGCTCTGAATTTGCTTATGTATTGGTTTTTGGCTTAATTTTGGTGAGTAATTTTTGAACTTTGTAACAAGGGGAAGTTAGTGGCTTGGGTTTTCAAAAGTATGCTGTAAATGAACGAAGTGAGAATACGTCTGCTAGGTTAAAATTCTGTTCTATGGCTGAAGTTTATGATTATTATAAACGTATTGGACAGAAAGACGAGAACTTAGTTTGGATTTTAAGAAGTTTTTCAATTCTTATTGGAAGTTTACTACCCTTTCTACTCAACTTTTCGTTCCTAGATCAAGATAGTTAAATGATTTATGGTGGTAAGGGCAAGGATATGGGGCATTCAGGAAGTCTGCACTATTTAGTTTGAGTATTTGTAGAGGCTACTTCAGTATTTGTCTACAGTTAATGGGGTCTAGAACTTGATTTTAGCCGCTTGCTATGTTGTTAGTGGGATAGCATTGGGGTCTTAATCCTAGTAGCAAGCACTGATTACATTTTATAGTTTGACTTATTTCCTCATACTTCTTCGATATACATTGTTTGGGAAGATCTGGATTAGATGTCCACTAAAAGACTTTAATATTAATCTCTACGTAATCTTAAACAAGGAAAGCTTATGACATTACTAATGAAATCTCAGACATGGTAGCTTAAGTTGATTAGTGGAGGTTCTTATATTAATTTGGCTTACCATTATGTTCAAATAGAATTATGCATTCTGTTTTTTTTTTTATTTACAAATCCAAAGGAGCTTTACATTTCACCCCAGATAGTACTATTTTCTGTATGTGCTGATGATGATACTGTATAAAAATTTCAAAAAAAAAATGTATGTTCTGATAGGAGAAATAAGGTCTTTAAGCTGAATTAAGTACACTCATTTATATGTGCCAAGTATAATGACGGTTAATTAGAGTATAAATTTTGAGTTTAATTATCGAACTTATATGCAGAAACCTCACTCAAAATCTGAGGTGGACGGTAAAAGCAAGGGAACTAAAGGAGAAAAGGTAAAAAAAAATCAACTGTGCCGCAAGAAAAAGTAAGCATTGATGCAAATGAAGAGAAAAATAAGAAGAAACGGAAGCAAAAGCAGGAAAATGACCTCCGATTTGAAGCAGAGATGGAAAAGTTGGATGGTGTTTCAACAAGAAAGCAGAGGAAGAAAGAGTAATTGTGTGTGTATGTGTGTTTATTTTTATTTTTTTTTTTATTTATGTTGGTTCTTGTTTGTTTATTTGTTTTTGTACTTAAACAGAGTTGGATTGTTGTATTTGTCATTGCGAGTGGTCGAGTCAGAGAAAACAATCTAGGCTCATTTTGTGTCCGAAAAACAAATTTATGATGTGGCTCGGTCCAAACTTTAACTTCAAGCAACCAAATTATCTTGATCTGATGTAGGTATTATTAGACCATGATTAGTCATGAACTTTGATTGAAAGGGCGGGGAGCAGTGGCTTGTATGTCTGCATTGTTGAAGTTGTACTGTAATACCTCATATATTTGTGCCATAAAGATGTGATGAATGGTCTATATATGTTTGAAACTAGGTTGGTTTTTGTGACTTGGGAAAAACCTAATTAAGTTTCTTAGACTAAAACTTGGATTCGAGTATGTTGATAGTGAGGCTGATAAGCTTTGAAAATACAAACACAATTGTGATGACTTAATGCTCAGAACTATAGAAGAAAATTGGATTTTCAGGTTTAAAAGATTTCTTTGATTATTTGATGATATCTGTGTCAATTATCTTTATTGTGATCTAGTGTAACTTTTTTGGTAAGTTTAAACTTGATGCCTCATAAGGCTTAATCTATGATTTGGGCTGTGTTGTTTCGTTTTTCGATATCATTGCAGACTTTAAACTGGAATAAAAATTAAGCTTACTTTTCAGGTTTGATCATCTTTCCTAAATGGCATCAGCAGCCTCTATAGCCTGTATGTCATATTCAGATTGCTGCCAGGGTATCCAGCTACAAAAGGGCAGATTTCCAATTGCATATGAAAGTCAGGGAGCATCTCTAATGCCAGCCTTGTCTTTCCTGTCTCTACACCATCGAAATCACAAGCTAAATCACATAGGGCTTCTCAAAGCTACACGACGCCCTCCGGTAGTCTGTGCACGCCACCCCAAGAGTAAGTACTTACCCCAAGGTCAAAGTTAGCCATCAATCAATCAATTATCAAGTTAGCCATTGCTGTAATTTTATCTTTGAAAGTGTAATTTTCAGAGTTAATGCTGTCAATACAACATACGTTGTATTTAGCAAATCAATGGTTAGGATTACCAACTTGGACTAAAATTAGGCAGCTGATGAGGACTAAGGATATTTATCTGATGGTTTAAATATTAGATTGGGCTTGCAATATTATAGTGGGCTTATCTGAGCTAAGTGCAATATTGGAAACGATGAATTGTTGCTCACTAGGGACCTGCTGCAAAATAAAATCTGGTCATAGTATATTTATATTTATCACACCCTTAATTCAAAGGAATTTAAGCTGTGAGCTGTAAGGTCTTAGTGTTGTCTGTGCTTCTGGCTGTGCTTCTGGCTATGCCTGTGTTTGGAGTCTTTGGACCTTGGAAGAACCAGGAAACCTGCTGTAGTCTCATATCAAGATATGTCAATCTTAGTTCTTAGGTGCCTCTTAGACAGGAGCCATGGGCAACAATTGTTTGTTCTTCTTGAGTAGTTCGGCTCTGGGCATGCTATCAGCCTTCATTAGCCGGTCATCTTCAGCTACAAACATAGGTTTTTACAACTTTATTATTGGCTTAATCACCCAGGCTAGTTTCTCTATTTTCCTATCAGAGTTTTTGGTTTAAAGTCAGGGAAACCAATAGACTGTTTACTGATGTTATTTCATATTGTGCAGATTGTGACAGCATTTGGATTCCAATACAGTAAAATGTTCTCTCAAACATACAGAGTCTTATGTTCCTTCTACCCACCGAATTTGCTAGCCGAGGGTATTCAGATGCTCACAGATGCAACTAGTACACCTCAAGACCCTGGAATGAGCTAGAAGGGAAGGACAAAATGTTCGCCTAATGATGAAGAATGTATTTTAACAATGGTAAGTTGTATCATACATATTTATTAAGTCCATTAAATTTTTCTCCTTTTCATATCCCTTCAATGTGATTCTTATGCTTTTGGCTTCTGTCATTTTCAAATATTCGCTTAGTCTCTATTGACATTTTAGTGCTAAGACTGTTAACCATTAAGTACGTACTGCCATCTCGTGACAGAATGATATCTTCATATGGCTGTCGGGGACGTTTGTTATGTGGTTTGTTTTGGCTCGTTACTTCGACAATATTATTCCGAACCCCTATGGAGTAAGGAAATCAGTGTTCTATTTCTTGTATCCTGGATATTAGACAGGCAAAGGTGGAAGTAAGGCACAAGGTAGCAAGTCATGTCCTTTCCTTTTACTTTTTTCTCCAGTTCTCTTAATTTAATATATCATACTAGTTTCCTAAAAAAAAATATATCACACTAGTAGCTTTTCTCAATAAACTAACTGCACTTAGCATCGATGCATCAGAGGGTGGCATCTGTACCTGCTTTAGTTCTTCCTCACAGCCTGAGCATGTAACTCCTGATGATGAGGATGTTCTTCAAGAGGAGAACAATGTTAAACAGCAAGCAAACGAAGGTGTTGTTGATTCAAATGTTGCAGTCCAAATACGTGGCCTTGCAAAGGTTTATCCCGGATCAACAAGTCTTGGATGCTGTAAATGCAAAAGGACTCCTCCTTACCATGCTCTCAGGGTAAATCTTGCTGTTGCTTTGTTAGACAAAATTAATGCAGTATGTTACATTAGAATGGACAGAAGACAAAACAAAGCTATGCTATATTTTTTTTAGTTTTTTAAAGTGTATTATTACAAGTTATTGAAGAAAATATATGTGTTTTATGTATATTATGATTATATATAAGTATTTGGTACAATTTAAGTGAAAAAAATGCAAAAAAAAAAAAATATTTTTTTTGGGCATTTTTGGCACCGGATTCTAAGTCAAAACCGGTGCAAAAAGTGTGGTTTTTCGCACCGGTTCTCAACTAGAACCGGTGCGAAAAGTTTGATTTCGCACCGGTTTTGAACCGGTGCGAAATGTCTGGGGTTTTAGCACCCCCAAATCAGGACCGGTTCAAAACCGGTGCTAAATGGGGGTTTTGAACCGGTGCGAATTACGTGTTTTCGCCTAGTGAATTTTGTGCAAATTGAAACATGCCCTGCTTTCGTACATGTATTACATTGTCATGAAAAACATAGCATCATGTGATGACAGAAATTTTAGGTCGTTGAAACTAAATACCTCAAATCAAACAAAAATTTATAAACCTAAACCTAAACTCCACGTTCATTACAAACAATTAAGCTAACTCGGGATGGGAAACAAATATTCTAATGTTACCAAAACAAAGAAAAAAATGAACTAGCTAGGAGCAACGTAATTAAAGCACTAAGGGAATGGATTAGGCAAGCATTCACTCAAGCATAACAAGGCATGAATTTGAATTGAAATGTGAACTAAGCAACTCATGTCAATGATATCAAGGCACAATCTAACCACCTATCGGGACCAATTGATTTCTTAATTCAATCACGAGCCTACACTATCGTCATAAGCCATGTGAATCAAGGTACTATTCTATCAAAATCATTCAATGGACGTTCCTAGGTCACGCTATCGCCATAACCTAGTTTAATCCACTTAATTGCAACTAATGATTGGCCACTCAAGAGAAGAAATTAGTAAGACATGGAATACAAAGCATTTCAATCATAAACAAATCAACTTCTAGCCAAAAACATGCTTCAGATCCAACTACAATATCACCATCTCCTTAGTAGGGGAACTACTCACAAATCATGTTAATAACTAGACCAATCATCAAATTAATAAGCATCAACATGATTAATAAGCAAGTAAGAAGATTAAAGCTAAACAAATCAAAATCAAATGAAGAAGTAAAGAGAAAAGAGTTAGAGAATTCTAATTGATTGAAGATGAATGTCTACAAGCAAGATGATCTTCCTCTTCAAGATCCAAGCATCAACAATGGTGAAAACTTCACTTTCTCTCTCTACCAAGTTAAGCTAAAAATGTTTCTCTCTCTTGATTAAGCTAAAAACCCTAGATTACGCTCTAATACCCTAACTAATTGCTAAGGAGAGAGAGTACAAGCTATTTATAAAAAGGCTAAATAGGAGAAACCAACCTAGACGTGCGCCCTCGCTAGCTAAGTACTGCGCGCTTGCAATAATGTGGGTTTAAAAAACTAGAACCCAACGATGCGCGCCCGCGCAAGATACTTGCGCACCGTCTCTAAGTGACTACGTGCCCGCAATAGTCTGGGTATGAAAACTGAAACCCAACTATGTGTGCCCGCATATGATATGCTTGTGCGCCCGCGTAGTTATGATGCGCGCCCGCAATCGCAGCAGACACGCAAACTTCCTGCCTTGTCCTGATATTTGCTCTCCATCCCTGTGCGCGATCGTATACAGACCTGCGCGCCCGCAGAGTATGAATGCGTGCCCTCTCCCTGGCCGCGCAGCAGGAGTGCAAACTTTCTGCCTTGTGCTATGATATTCTTCTCTGTGGTCGCGCAACACATCATAAATCGACCCCCTCTTCTTAGATTAACATCAAGGTTTCCTACAAAACACGAACAAAAGAAACTAAGAAAGAAAATAGACAAAAAGAGGGATAAAAGTAAGAAAGAAAAGGCGTTAAAGAAAGGAAGCTAAAGATAGAAAAAAGGGCACAACCAAGCTACAAGCATGGGGAAAAACCATCAATATGAGCTCTAAATTGTGGCATAAATGCCACTCATCAACTTCTCCCACAGTTGCCTCTTGCATGTCCTCAAGAAGAAAGAACCACGAGAAACTAAACTAACAAAGAAAAGCCAACTTTTCTTTTAGCACAAGCAACAAGACCTTTAAACCTCAAGGTCGCCAATGAGGACGAGTTTTGATCTCGTGAGGATTTCCAAAGAGCTTACCCCACAACTCTTGCAAAAATGCGTTCAAGACAAACCAAAGATGAGAACAAGAGGGTAAAGAGAAGGGCACACACAAACCACTTTCTCTCAAGATTTAAAACCAACAAGAATAAGTGAATGACAAGCTTTCTAAATAGTAGAAGTTAGCACGTAAGGGGATGCTAAAGGTTGATTGAAGGATAAACCATGCTAAGCGTAGAGAACTCTAACATGCACCACTCCCCCCGCATTCCATACAATCTTACCGTGTTCTCTCACCTAGATTCAAATCCACCCTTAGAGGTAGCATCTCATGACTCCTCAAAGGAGCTAGAACAACGATAAAAAATACAAAACAAGGGGAATTCGACATCTTACCAAGTCATGCTCTCTCCATATTCTTGAAATCTAGCTTCCTCCACCGATTAGTGACTCAACCAACCTAAGTCGAAAAAGAGGGTTGTAACGTTGGCTAGGGGGTAAAGGTGTGGAAAAATTTGGAAATTGGTGCTAAGCCTAATTGTGAAGCTAAGGGTGATCAAGCCTCTATTCCAAAATCAAACATTTACCAATTTTAAACAAGATTTCCACAAGCTTAAACCTAATTGCCAAACACTTTGAATCTTTCATTCTTATCCTCTTTTCATCTTCATACAATTTTTTCTCATTTTAAGCTTTTGGAATTTTTTTTCTTTTTTTTTTTTCTAACTGTTATTTCATTGTCCTTGCCTTTTATAACTATGGACGGATTTCCTGAATTTGCATTTTCTTTATTAAACTAACATTCACAAGTCACAACCTCACTTCCATTTCAAACCATTACCTTCCAATATTTCGAACCAAAACCAAAACAAACTTTCATGGCTCAAGCTTCACAATTCTATGGGTGAGAAATGAAACAAAAAGGCCATGGGGTTTGTGATGTGCTATAGACAAGGATGGATAGGCTCAACATGGCTAGCAAAGGGGTAAATGCAAATAAAAACACTCAATAAAAATAAAATCTAATCCTAGGAACTAAAATAGTCTCCGAATGAAAAATTCCTTTATCATCCTTAGATATATTTCGGTCTCGATCTCGGGTAGCTAGATGTCAAGTTCTTGATCTAAGCATGCCTTGATAGAGATCCTATGTCGCTCATACAAATAATGTTGTAGCCTTGAACAATAAAGCTCACATCGGGTTACAAAAACTACTTCTAGGGCTTCAAATCCCCTAATGAAAGCAACACCTTCTAACCACAAACAAGTGAGTTTGGGTTCGATGGGCCTTACGAATTCTAGCACAACTACCTTAGCATGAACATATCCTAGAGTCAAGCGATGGCAATCCCGAAGCGTGTTAACTTATAATACTCAAGAAAAAAGGCATTCAAAAACACATGTCAACTTTTATTATGCTCAAAGTGAAAATGAAACAACTAAGTTTTACATGGTTTGTCTTGAACGAAAAGGAAAATCTTTTTCATTTTTTTTCATTAATTTTTTAAAGGAAGGAGTACAAGAGAGCAAAGAGGCAAGTAAACATATAATTCCCAATTGATAAACAAAGATCGTTTGGCATCAATAGCAACGATCACCAGATTCCGTGGAATCAAATACATATATCCTCGAACAATCAACTCCATCCTAGTCTAAACTAAGCTATGCACACAAAGGAAATAAAAAGAAAAAAAGGAAAGGTCTCACCCAACGTTGCTTGTATTAGAGCACGAAGCAAATTTATAATCTCACCACGGTCTTCGGAGCTCGAATCACTCCTCGCCTTAACTCCTTGTGCATTCCGTCTCCAAGCTACAAAATTTGGTGAGCAAAAGAAAAGCACTACAACTATACACAAAAAGGGTTAGCAAATCAAAATAAAGAAAGAAAAAATATAAACAAAAGAAATGAACTAAAAGGTTATATACAAATTTGGATATTAGTGGTTTGGATTGAAGGGATTTGGATTTTCCTCCATGGGAGCACATCCATCTATCAAGAAATCTCATAAACTCGTCAAAATTATCATAGAAAATAATCATAAAAAAAAACATAATCACCAAAATCATCATAATCGAAACATGAAACTCATCAAAAACATCATCAAAGAAATCATCATCCAAGCATCATCATTGGAAACAACAAGACGAAGAACCAACCAATCATCATCATGAGCAACAAATTTGAAAATAACCAACCAAAGCCAAGCATTCCCTACCACCTAAAGCAAAAAGTTCCCCAACACTAGCCTGAAACTACCCTCTCCCACACCATAAAAAAACATCCCTTTGCCTCTTATAACCCCCCCCCCCACACACACTAGACAAAAGCACCATCCTCAGTGTAACATGATAAAAACAAGGGAAGGGAGGGACAAAGGGGAAAGAAATCAAACAAGGTAGGCTAGTGGCCACTAGGGCCGGCACCATTACTATCTTCATCCTCCTCCGCATCATATGAAAATCCGGTCAGGGGGATGCCATAAGGATCCCAACCCTCTGTATAACCCGGCGGCCAACCATAGTGACCTCTACAGAGGTCTTATTGCCATTGGGGCAACGAGTCATAAGGAGGAGGCATTTCTAGAGGCGCGGGGTGAGTGGATCCACGTAGGGGTAGTTAGGATCACCCCTATAATCACACCCACCCAGTGCACGGTAATCGTAACCGGTCTCCGTGGGGTAGTGCACTTGAGGGCTATCTTAGGAAGATGGCCCTTGCCAATATGGCCATGTTTGTTGATTCCCCAACCATTAGGGGACCGAAACATGTTGTGGTGGCCAATATAGGTGGTTGACCGTGGGTTTGACCTCACCCCTATCCATGACCGCATTATAAAGTGCTTGGGTTTGAAGGAACATACCTTGTTGGTGAAAGGAATGGTGTCCTTTGAACAAGTGTATTATTCCGATAAAGGGT